TCTACTATAAAGTCACATTAAAATTGTCTTGATTTATGGTAATTTCATTATTTTATAAATTATCACTTAAGAGTGCAATATACTTTTTATATTATACAAGTATATATAGGAAAATTTCTGAAATATATAATGAAGCATTTAAAGGTACAATTTTTCTTTATGCATACATAATATACATATAAGTATACTATATACCATAAGTACCATAAATAGCAATCTGCATAAATATAATAATATATAAAATTAATTATAATAATAAGCCATTTATATACACCCTTACCAATATTTTCTATGTATAACAATAATAATTTTAATGTTATTTGATGCATAATGAATATTTTTTTTTATGAAATTTTTTTTAAATTAAGATGTCAATTTAATTATCTAGGGACGGAGAGAAAGAGGAAGAGATTTGAGTTCCCTTGTTCATTTAAAATTTAAATAAGAAGTTTAATAGTGGTAAAGATGTTTTAAAAATTTCGTGTATATAATGTTATACAAAATCCTGCCCATTTTAAAAATCTACGCTGAACTATACTAAAGTTTAAAATTTTTAATCTTGTGCTTTGGGAATTTTTCAAACGTACTGATGTACTGTTATACTCCACCCTTTGTATATTTCAAATTTTTTTAACACACATGTTATTTTGTATTAAATTTCATAAAAATAAATAAATTATATATAATTATGAAAAATTCACATTTTAATAGAAAAATAGAAAATAAAGTATGATTGGCACGAGTTTCAATATAGTTTTACTTAAAATCGTTTTTGATTATGGAACGCTTAATATTGGTTTAGGTGTATTATAATAATCTTATAATACATTATAATATAAATGAACATATATTACATTATATACATATAATTTGGTAAAATGATTTTAAATTAAATCTTAACCTTATACTAATTAATACAAGAATACTCGTATCTATAGTATACAAGCATATATTATGACAATATGGTTATATAACTGCGAATATATGGAATACAATTGCATCGGTAAAATCTGCATTTGACGTTTTATTTTGTTAATAATAAACTCAATAGTTAATTTTAAAATTAAATACACATCACGTATGGAACATATTAATTTCCTTACAATAGATTATTGTACATTATTATACACAGAATATACTTATATTACAATGTATATGTATTCGTATTATATTGTATAAACAAAAATTAACAATTTTAGGTTATACATAGTCTAATATTAATTATGGTATGCGGATTGATATGCTGGTTGTGTACACGATAGCAAAATAGCTTATTAAAATTTTAAAATCATTGAAGGGAAACAATGCATATCAATAATACTTCCCACATACTTACATAAATTGTTCACATAACTATAATAAAAATAATTAAAAAATTTTAGTAAAATAACTAAAATTTTATTATTATATTTGATTTTGACTATGATTTTGACTAAAGAATTATAGGTTTTCGCTGTCAATTACTTTGTGACTAAAAATGAAATGAAAAATTAATGATGATTGAATATTAATAAAAAAGTTTTTTTTTTAAATTTTTTAAATTTTGATTGTTCAAGCCCATCAAATTCTCAAAAAAATTCTGTTATACGCACATAATACATTAAAATTTATGAATAGCATATAAAAGATCAATTGAATAAATTAAGTATTGAACTTTGTGTTTCGTTACAAAGAACTCGAAAAACAATCGAAAATTTTTATTATATTTAAAAATAAAATAATTCTTGTAACTATTCTAAATGAAATTTAGAAACTTATTAATATTTTTATTCAATGGATCCTTCAATTTGATTTGATAAGTCAACCTTTTACATTATATGCACACTTGCTTTGAACAAAGTTCTTATATTTAAAGTATTTGTACTTGAAAAATAAAATAAAAAATTTTATTATTTTTTTATTTTTTTTTTATAAAAAAATAAAATATATACAAAGGTTAAAATATCCTTCTTTAAGAGCAAAATGTTAACAGCCATTTTTTTTTTATTATTTTTTTTTTAAAAAACCCTTTGAATGCTTCTTTTTTTAATTCAAATCAATGTCAAGTTTATGGGAAATTTTTAATTTAATTACAATAAAAAAAAAAATATTTTTATTACCCTTTTTTGTATTTTTTAATTTATTCTTATAATTGTTGCCGTTTTTAATAGAAAAAATTATAGTGAATCATTCTTAAATTTAATAGCAAATAAATTCGAAACCAATAAATAATTTTCAAGAGCCGAAATGAGGTGATTTTAAAATAATATTCAACAGCGGAAGAGAAGTGTGAAAATTAGATGAAAACGGTCTTCAAATATACAAATAATACTTGTATATTTAATCAGAAATAGCTATTTCTTCATAAAATTGAAACTTCATGTTTTAACAGAGCGACAGAACAAATCGGACAGACAGAAGAACAGAGTGAAAATCATATATAGTGTTTTCCTAAATTCGTTACAAAATATTTTTAATTCTCCCTATACATCTGTGCAACAATATATGAAGAGGAAAATTTTTCGTATCATAAGAACCAATACTATTGTACTGGCATTTTTTAACCCTGGCTCAGGATTAATGCATCACAAACGCGCATTTGAAAGTTACGAAATATTTAAAAAAAAAAATGTCTTTAACATAGAAACCTACACGTGCCTTATTGATTCATTTATATTCCCTGTTTTCGATCTAACAAATTCTTGTACCCATGGACAAGCCCATATAGACATAATGCGACTATAAATATTTTCAATTTCCCCTTTGTTCACAATAATCTTATATAAAAGATTGTCTTTAAAAAATGATTGACTATACCAAGTTCACTGATTTACAAACAATTCTATCAACAATTTATGTCACATTATATGTATAATTTTCTTGGTAAAAAATTTAGGGGGAAAATTACTTCAAATTGTTAAAAAAATATTTTGGATGTGCTTAAAAATATCAATATTATTGTTTAAACGTTATTATAATGGAATCCCCCAAATGACTTTTATATAAATTTCCCTAAAATTGCATATATAAATTCATCATTTTGAAAATTCAGGAACCTTACATTAATCATGGCTACAGGCTTTTTCATGTACCATTAAAAATCTCAATAAATAAGAGCAGATTTAATATAAAAATCTGAGATTTCTCAAGTCTTTTTTTCTGTCATTGTCCATAACGAAAAATTATATACACACTTACATTTGTTTATATATAGTAAAGATAGAAAAAATTCATAATATTAAATTTACATTATTTGGTAATTGCACACCAAAAAATTTTACAAACACATGTTATTTACAAATTATTAAGCAATATAAATATTTTTATGTCAAGTGTTTTTCATATCTACTCAAAATATAATTGATACTTTAAATGTTTATTGTTTTGCACATACACACACACATATGTACCAACATGTTGTTTTAAAATTAGTTTACATTTTATATTAGTAAATATACTTTGTACCCCAAAATTAATGTCCCCTTATAAAAGTAAAATCGTATATAAAACGAATACAATGTAAGTATGTATTCAAAGTCTATGATACTTATTAAAAATTTTTAATATTATTCTTAAAGTACCTATTCTTTAAAAGAGCAAAAAAAAATTACAATCATTCTTTAAATAGAACATGGAAACTATGTGATTTATTGAAAAATTATAAGCATTCAGATAAACACAAAAATTTTGAATAACACTTGTGATTTGTATGTTTAAATCCCCTAAGAGCATTTGAATCGAATCAAGCAAATTGTTTTCTGATACTTCTGTTCAAGTTTAAATGGCTAAATTAATGAGTGATATCGAATTGTTTAGTACGAAGAACTGTATCGACATTCCACTTTCACGACAGAAAATTTTCAAGATCTACATATATTCTTTTTTATCCACAACAAAGCGGTGTTATCCGCACACCAATCAAAATTTATTATATTATAAGCGGCTCAGTTCCATAGCATTTACATTCACTTTGTCTATATCCCGTTTAAACAGGTGAAACCCAAGAAATCTCTGTTCCAAGGGTGCGATCGATGTAGAACAATCAAACACACATGGGTCACGATTTCATTTTTTTTGAAAACCACTTCAATATTCAGGGAAGCAGTTATTGTGTATTCCTGCGGCCCAGAAATTTCTTTATATAATATCAGAGACTGCGAACGGACTTCATTTATTTATCCTTACAATACGCATGTTGTGTCGAAGACATCATTATCGGAAAAGGATTACTTTTTTTTGTAAACTTCTGCTAACGTTTCCAATATCTTTCATAAAAATCATTTTAGAGAGATATGATCTAAGACTTTTTAGGGAGATATGAGAGATTTTCGAATTTTTAGAAATGAACATCATCTTAACAATATTAATTCTTGTAAACATTACTTCTCCAGTAGTACAAGTTGCTTTAAAAATCGTAAAATAATTACAATTTGGATTCGTGGTCACAATGGACATAAGCGCAACTATACTAACTAAATACAGAAGTCTGTTAACTTAGCAGTTGCTCTGCTTGTAATATCTTCTCTTCTTCTTCTGCGTATCCACTTACTGGATGTTTGCGACTACATTTCTATATGCCTCCCTGTCTTGCGCAACATGTATCAGCTCTTCTAATGTTCGTATGCCAGTCCATTGTCTGATGTTTCTTAGCCTTCAATTTTGCCTTGCAAAATCAGCTGCAGTATGAAATATTTGTCGTTACGCATTAAATGACCGAGAAATATTGTTTTTCTGTGTTTTATTGTTAGTAATAATTCTCGGTCATTATTTACTCTTCTTAAGACCTCTTCATTTGTAACTCTATCTATCCATGGAATTTTTAACATCTTACGGTATATCCACATCTAGAAGGCTTCTAGCTTGTTCATTGTTGATATTTTTAGTGTCCAAGCTTCCATTCGATAGAGGAGAATTGACCACACGTAGCATTTTACAAAATTAATTTTTAATTTTAAAATATTTTAATAAAATAATTTATATATTTTATATAATTAATTGTTTTTTTTTTTTATAATTTACAGCAGAAGATGCTGTACACATTACAGCAATACTCGGTGAAAGTGTTATATTCAATTGTCACGTCGAATTTCCAAACGATCATCCAGTTCCATACGTCCTTCAGTGGGACAAGAAGGTGAGCGAAACGGTACGATATGAAAATCTTCTCTACTCTCTTAATAAAAAAAAATTATTCTATTTTTTTTTTTTTTTATATATATATTTATAAAAAAAAAAACATAAAAACCGTAAAAGCCAAAAAAGAAAAAAAATACCTATATAAAAAATTTATAAAATATAAAAATCATTCTGTGAGTATTTTTTTACATGAAAAATATAAAAAAAAAAAAAAAACAAAACTTAAAATATTTATGAAACAAAAATATTTAAAGAAAAACCAAAATATTTGTTTATTTTTTATTTTCGTTCTAAGTTTTTTATTTTTTTTTTTTTGTTCGTTTTTTAATTAAAAATTAATCCAAAACGCTTTAAAACGCAGCGATTGATAAAAAAAAATAAAAATTTTTTTTTGTATTAAATTTTAAAGTTTTTTTTTTTTATTTTAAAAATAATTTTTTTTTTCCACCATTTTGTTTTTTTTTTTTTATTTGTTTTTCTTTTGTTTTCCCTTTTTTATTTTGTGTTCTTGTTTTTACGCTTTTATTTAATTAAAATAAACCTTAGTTTTTCTTTCTTTTCATAATTTTTAATATTAATATATATATATATATATACAAATGCTAAATATAATATATATGTTTATATATTTTGCTGTCAGAAGTAGTATTTTAATTATTGTTTTGAATTTAAAAATTAATTAAATTTTACTTTAATTTATATTCAAAATTGACCAATGAAAAAACAACAAAAAGAAAAAATAATAAAAATTAATACAAAAATTAATGATTTTTAATTGGTATATACCCTTTTTATGGCAGAATTTATTAGAAATAATTATATTAAATATTTTTTATTTTATTTTTCTCTATTTTTAATTTCATTCCTACATATTTATATTGTATTTTTCGTTTTTATTTTGATTGAAAAATAAAAAAATAAAAAATTTGTTTTTTGTTCATCTTTTTTCAAAATTTATTAATTTGTTGTATTTTTTAATTAAATTTGCCAATTAATTGAATAGTTTGCTCTCCCCAATTATTAATTTATATATTTGAAAAAAAAAATATATATATATATATATAAAAATTAATTACAAATATGATTATTAACTGAAAAATATTTTTTTTTTTTCAAAATTTTCAATTTTATTATAATTTTTATTTGGTATTTGGTTTTTGAATTTTTTTTTTCCCTGATTCTTTGAAAATCTATCGTATTAAATTGTTTTTTTTTTGAAATATATATATATATATATATGCATATACATATATATTTAGGGATGAAAATATATATAAAAAATAAAAGAATCATGTGTTGAATGTTTTAAATGGTATTGATTTAAAATTTGTTTTATAAAAATATAAAGTGACCATATATACACAATTAAAGGGTTTTTATATGAATAGTAGAAACGGTTGTGCCGAAGTAACACAACAATTTTATTCAATAATGACATAATCACATAATTTAAATAATAATTAGATAACAGTATCATGGTTTTTTTTTTTATTACAAATTTTTTTTTGGATTTCTGAATTTTAAATTTAATTCAATTATTATTTAAATTAATTCCAATACAAAATTAAAAATTTCAAAGCAAAATTACAAATATCCATTATACGATTAAAATCTTGTGGGAATAATAAGATTTTCATATAAATTTTAAAGTGGAATTATAAAATTATAGTAAACTAAGAAGAGAAAATTTAATTCAAATTCATTATCATCTATTATGGTATAATCCAATTGTACAATATCTATACATATTCAATTTATACTTATTTTAAATCAATACCATTTTAATGTTGTGATTTAGTTAATTGGAATAATATTTTACAATTTTATAATAATAATTATTATATTTGAATATTATTTATAATTTTCTTAATTAATTTGTATAATAAAGAAATAAAAAAAAACTAAATTAATTCAAAATATGTATACAAAAATTATTTAAAATATACAACAACAACAAAACACGATACACAAATTATTACACAAATTAATTTTTCAAAATAAGTTTTTTTTGTTTTATTAACAATAATTTTAAAGAAAAATTCAAAAACAGAAGTCTTTTTAGAGAATTTTCAAAATAAAAATATATTGTATAATGAAATGTTTTTTTTTATGAAAAGTATGCGATAACAAAGACTTATAATATCCGGTCCTATAGTATACCCCAGATTTCGATCTCATTTTAAAAAATCTCTATTATAAAACAATTAATAATATCTAATAAAATATTGGTAAATAATTTTTTAATTAAAAATTCAAAATAATTAATAAAACGATTCCAAATTGGTTCCGGCTTTAAAAGTTTTCTTTTGTTTGCTTTCTTTGCTCTATAATTTTTTGTTTCTTCTTCGATTTTGTTCATTTTTTACCTTATTAAATTTGATTTTAATTTCCTCTATTTTTTTAAATAAAATAATTTAAAACTGCTTTTTCTATATATACTTATATTTCAAAATAAAAAAAGAAAAATTAATATCTGCTATATTTGATTTTTGAATTAAAAAAAATTAAAGAAAAATTTTTTAAATATTTTTTTTTTTTTAATTTTGTTTTTAAGTAAAATTAATAGTTTTAAATTAAAAGATTTTCATTAAATAAAACATAAAATTAATTAAAACAAATAAACGCTTTTTTTTAAAAAAAACATTTTTTTTTTATTAAATATTTTTTTAATATACAACAAATATACCTTTATTTTTTTTTCACTATATATTTATATACAAATAATTTATTTTATTTTTTGTCAAACAAAACATAATATTATATACACATATTTAAAGGAAAAAAAAATATACTACTTATTCAAAATGAAATATTTTTAAAAAATTTTTTTTTTTCACATGCTTAACTAGTTTTTATACATAAAATATTATTTTTAATATTTAAAATAAAAAAAACCATTTACGTTCTCTCATAAAACATAATCAAATATTATAAATATAATTAATTATTATTGTTAAAAAATCAGTTTTAAAAATAAAATTATTATTAATTTTTTTCATTTCTTATTTTTAATTTTTATTTTGTTTTCTTTTGTTAATTTTGAGTTTAAATTTAATTATGAAAGAAAAAAAATTTTTAATATTTTTTATACAGAAAAGTGACAATTTTTTTAATATAAAACGTAGTCTTTTTATTTATTTAAAAAATATATATATATATATATATTTTATAATATTAATAATTATTGTATTGAAAAAATTTTTTTTTTTGGATTAAATTCATCGAATAAAATGAAAATCAAAATCAAAAGAACGAAGTAAAAAATTAATAAATTTTTTTTTTTGTTTTTTGATAAAATTACAATAAAAATAAATAAAATTCAAATTAATAATTAATATTATTAGGGTTGCTAAATATACAAAAAAAAAAGAAAATAATAAAAACAACGACCATAAGAGAAAAAACATCAAAAAAAAAATAAAGAGAGAGAGAGAAAGAGAGAGTGAGAGAAGACTATATAAAGCAAAAAAAAAAAAAAATTTTTTTTTTAATTAAATTTTTTTTTCCAATTTAATTTTTTTCTCGAAAAATAATTTTTTTTAAAAGTTGTTTGAATTGTTTACTAATTTTTTTTTTTTAATTTTAATAAAATAAAAATTTTTTTATTTAATTTTTTTTAATATAATAAATTTTTATTAATTAAATTATTTTTTTTTTTTTTTTGAAAATATACATTTTTTATTCTCTTAATTTATTTCACAAAAAAAAAAAAAAAAAAAATTTTCAAATTTGTAATTTTTGAGATACAAGTTTTCAATACCATAATTTTCATTTCATTTATTTTGTTCCTATATAAATATATAATATAAAAATAAAAAATTCACTCACAAAAATTTTTTTGGTAAAACTAAAAAAAAAACAAAACAAAGTAACAAAATTGCATTCACTTACAATAAAAAAAAAAAACTTTGATTTCTTTTCATTTCTTTCATATTTTTTGTTTTATTTTTTGTTGTTAAACACTATATTTAAAAAAATATAATAGACACTTTTGTGGTAATTTTTTGTTAACATACAAATTATATGTTATAAAACAAATATTATGTAATAAATTAAATGACAGTATAACAGTTTGCAATTCATTAACATTATGACATTGTGCATAGTCAGTCATATGTGTAATTTCTATTCATAATAATTAAAATAAAAAAAATAATATGCTTAAATTCAGGTCACAAATCTATAAAACTGTTTAAATCGAAAACAAACTTGCTTCGTATAAAAAAGCTTAAAAATTTAGAAACAATTAAGCTAATTAACAATTTCAGATCATTGATAAGTTCATGAATGAAAAATTGGTCTAAATTTTAATATGAATGAAAATAAATGAAAAAAAAAAAAAAACAAATTTTTTTCAAAATTTATTAAACATTTCTGTACTCAATTAAAAAATTCGGGATTTAAATATAGATTTAATTTTTGAAAAAAAATTTTAACTACTCAAACCAAAATATTTCGAAAAATTAAAAAATTATTATAGAATTTGAAAAAAAAAAATTGAAAACCGTTAAACTTTGACTTAGACAGTTTTTGTTTGTAACCACTGATTTTTTGTTAGTATATAAATTTCATGCACATTATAAAATTTGAGCAAAAAATTAAAAAAAAAAAAAACTTGTTATTAAATTTTTTTCCACCAAAACATTGAAATGAGGTTATTTATATAAAACACGCTTATATAAATTGTTCATATGATGTGTTATACATATAACATTTTTGTAAAAATGTATATTTTCACTTACAAACTATACTGAAATAAGTCACTGGAATGTGATTTTGTATATTATTATAACCAAACATAAGTGTCACATAATTGTTATATTATATTAGATTTTCCAAAATAATTAATTATTCCTTTAACAAATCTATATGAAAATCATATTTTACTGTACAAAAAATTTTTTGCATTTTTGTATTTATAACATTTCATAATATGCAATTATCATTTTATATGTATACAGTATATTATGCAAACATGTGTTATACAATCTATTACATAATATTATAATA